GGGAAAAAACTGCAAGCATTTCCTTTAAAATCTGGAACAAGGATGTCCACTCTATTTAATATAGTACCAGAAACTCCAGCCTCTTTTGCAATGTGGCAAAAGAAGGAAATGAAAGGGATAAAAATAAGAAAGGAAGAAGTCAAATTATAACAATTTGCAGATAACATGATCCTGTATCTAGAAGATCCATAAAATTCCACTAAAGACTGCTAGCGCTAATAAACAAATTTGGCAAAGTGTACAAAATCAACATACAAAGATCAATAGCTTTCCTATATACCAACAATGAATCTCCTGAGAAAGAAATCAGGAAAACAATTCCATTCACAATAGCCTAAAAAAAACAAAATTAAACAAAACAAGATGTATACAATAAAAACTATAGAACATTTAAGAAAGAAATTGAAAAAGACCTCAGAAGATGAAAAGACTTCCATGTTCATGGATAGGCATAATTAATATTGTAAAAATAGCCATATTACCAAAAGCAATATACAGATTCAATGCAATACACTTCAAAACACCAGTGACATTATTCAAAGATCTAGGAAAAATAGTCCTATGATTCGTTTGGAAGAATAAAAGACCCAGAATAGCCAAAGTAATTCTAAGTCAAAAAAGCAATGCTGGAGGCATCACAATATCTGACTTCAATACTACAGAGCTATAGTAACAAAAACTGCATGGTAAAAACAGACACAGTCCAATGGTACAGAATAGAAGACACAGGGACAAACCCACATATCTATAGTCAACTGATCCTTGACAAAGGTGACAAAAACATACACTGGAGAAAAGTCAGCCTTTTTAACAAATGGTGCTGGGAAAACTAGTCATCCATATGTAGATCCTGCACAAAAAGCAACTTGAAATGGATCAAAGATTTCAGAGTTAGGCCAGTAACTGTGCAATTCCTAAAAGAAAACATAGGGTCAACACTCCAGCTTTTAGGCAGAGGCAATGACTTTCTCAATAGGATCCCTAAAGCTCAGGAAATAATGCCAAGAGTTAATAAATGCAACAGTATCAAATTAAAAAGCTTCTGCATAACAAAGAAAACAATTAGGCATGGGAAAGAGAACCCACAGAATAGGAGAAAATCTTCACTAGTTACTCTTCTGACAGAGGATTAATATCTAGAATATATAAAAGCTCAAAAAACTTTACACCAAAAAAACAATAACTCAATTAATAAATGAGCAAGTGAATGAAACAGTCACTTCTCAAAAGTAGAAATACAAATGGCCAACAAATACATGAAAAAATGTTCAAAATCATTAACAATTAGGGAAATGCAAATCAAATTACAGTGAGATTACATCTCACACCAGTCAGAATGGAAGTCATCAAGAATACAAATAACAAATTCTGGAGAGAATATGAAGAAAAAGGAACACTTTTACACTGTTTCTGGGACTGCAAATTAGTACAATCACTTTGGAAATCAGTATAGAGGCTTCTCAAAAGACTAGGCATGGAACCACCATGTGACCCAGTTATACTACTTCTCAGTATTTACCCTGAAGAATTAAAGTCATCTTACTACAGTGGTACATGCATACTCAATTTCACAGCAGTACAATTCATAACAGCCAAACTATGGAACCAACTTAGATGTCCATTAAGGGATGAATGGATAAAGAAAATATGATACACACACACACACACACACACACACACACACACACACAGACACACAGACAAAATGGAGTTCTATTCATAAAGAAAATGAAATCATGGCATTTGCAGGAAAATGGATGGAACTAAAGACCACACCATCATGTTAAGCAAAATAAGTCAAACTCCGAAGTTTAAGGGTCATAAGTTTTCTGTCATATGTGGAAGCTAGAGAGGAAAAAGGAAAACAAATGTGGGGGTGGGTCTCCAAAAATATCAAAGGGAGATCAGTAGGGGAGAGGGACTGGGTGAGAGGTGGGGAGGGAGTGCTGGGGAGGGATATCAAATTATATTGTAATACTGTATACTTGTATAGATATGCAACAATAAATCCCATCAAGATGTACAACTATAATGTACCAATAAAAAATGTGGGGAAAAAAATTACTTCTTTAATGCATCAGAATTTGGGAGCTCCAGTGGCGCAATCAGTTAGCACGCAGTATTTATACAGAATTTAAATACTATATCTTCAATATGCCTGGGTGCATCTAATTTATTCAAGAATCATATTCATGATTTAATTTAACTGGGAAAGTGGATTGGACTGGGGTAACTGCTTGCTGATTTTCCTATCTGGTATATTACACTATAAGCCCTATCTAAGTTTTTAAAAATAACTGTATGTGCTGAATGTACATACACAATAGCCCATTACTAGCCCATGTACTCTAGATAGCACATTACTCTTCTCTATCTTTAAAAATTTCTCCATCATTTCAAATGTCCCAATGCTGTGTGTATATACATATACGCACGTATGTGTGTGTGTGTGTGTGTGTGTGTAATTGCATTTCCCTGATGGTAGACCAGAACAACATTAAAATAAACTGATTTTTTAGGACAAAGACAGCAAAAGAAGGTGGCTGTGGCTTCACTGAGAAATGACTGTCCAGTGAAATATCCTCTACGAGCTAATTATCTTAATAGGGACCCTCTTTTGTGACTTCTGCCCTTTGCATCTTCTGAGGACAACAGCCTTGCTGTAAACCTCCCCATAGCAATGCCTTACTAATGTGCAAATCATCCACAAAGGCCTGTCCTAAGGTTCTGAACTGCTCTAATTACCCAGACTCCATTGTGCTACTCATTAAAAGGGCGACTTTCTCCAACCAACGCAGCACTCCCTCCTACACAACTCGGCAAACACGGTCAGGTAATGATGGGAAAAATGACAGCATCATTATGCTGCTCCGCCAGAAAGCAGCGCACAAGGAGGCAGCTAGACTACCAAATACATCAGGAGTCTTTCTGTGGCATCAAGGGCATAGACTGCTCAAAATCAAACACATGGTACAGCAAGGACTGCTTAATTGTAGCAAAGACCCTCGAACTGCATAACCTCATCTAGTCCTCTGTCAAAGACTCCACAGACCATACACACTAACATACAAACTTCAAACTCAGGCACTGCCGTGCCATGTGTGTAATCTACATGTGAAACAGATAGGAAAGAAAAGAATAGTGCAGAAACCACCGTTGAGCACAGGTTTTCCCATTTGCCTTGGTTTAACTGAGTGCCCAGGGAGGAGAGGGGAAGCTTTCAAAGTATGTAAGTAAACCTGGTTTACTGCTTTTTCCCCATTCAGTGGAGATGGAGAATGCAAAAAGGAAAAGAAAATGAAACGATTCTTGAAGTTTCATGACTACTGTTTTTAATGAAATGACTCTCTGTCCTTTCAAAGTAAATTACTTAAAAATCCTTGTGCCAAATTTGAACATAGTGGAACTCGGTTCCCGGCATCTTCCTATTATGCTATTTCTTTTCTTTCTTTTTTTTAGTTACACAGCCCAGACTATGAAAAGCAAGCTCAATATGCATTTCAAAAGACGAATAGACATCTCAGGACTGAAACAAACCCCCATCTCATTGATATAAGAAAGAGCCAGGCTTATTCTGGGAAGAATGTCACCCCATCTCTGCAACCTTATGAAAAGAATGAACTGCAAGCGGCCACCTCTTCTTCTGTAAGTTCCTAAAATGCAATTTCTTCATGGACAGGACTCATAGACTCCTCTACACCAGTCATAAAATAATTTGCTAAAAGGTTTTACATTTAACTAGCAAGGTACGCTCTGTGTCCTCAGAAGTCCCCTTGTTCTGATTCTTCATCAGCTTTATTCAATCAAGACTTTGGCAGCTGAGGATGGTAAGAGGTTGGGAAGGAGGCTCTGGGAAGGACTCAGTGGGGGAGAAGATGGCCTGTGTACTCCTAAAGCCCAGCAATGAATGCTCACTGTTGTGGGGGTGGTCCCTTCCTAGGAAGAGCAGCTTTGGAGAGGGCAGCTGAGAGCTGCTGAGGGTGTGGTGGCTACCTCCCATCCCTGCCTGCACTCTGGTAGATCTTGTCTCAGCAGAAGAGGGAGGGGAGACTGGGCACCACAGGTTCCCTTGCCTATGGGGACAAGTGGGGTCATGAATAACCTTAAATAAAGCTTCATGTTCTTAGGTGGCAGAGCAGAACCACTTACCATAGAAAGGTGCTGCTATTGCACAAACAAACTGGGGAGTGTCATTCTCTAAGATGGCCTTTGTGTACCAAAAATAATTTCTTTATCAACTGCATTACTCATTGGCAATCTGACAAATGCAGGGTTATCATTTATCAATTATTGTTTTATGAAGCACCCACCAAATCCCAGGTTGAAGAAGTGAAGATCAACAAGACCACATGATCAGAATGAATGGAAGATAAGCTCTTTTTAAGCAGCACTCATCTACCTTGCTCACTCTGTACTGCTAGAGCCCAGAGCACTGTCAAATAGCAGATACTCTGCAAGTTTGCTGAATGACTGATTGAGACAGACATGCCTTCTGCCCTCATGAAGTGAACAGTTCAAATGTGAAGCAGCTTGCCATGCTGGAGTACACTACAGGTTAGGATCAGGCCACCAGGTCTTGGTCCTGGCTCTGTCACCATCTGCTCTAAGACCTGAGGCAACATATTTGGTTCACTGTGTCTGAAGATAAAAACAAGGACTTTTGACACAATTTTCCTACAAAGTTTCTTGAACAGATTGTAAATTCTAACATCCAACAATGTATCTTCTTAGAGTTTTTCAGGAGGATAGTGCTGTAAAATTTACTTGAGATAATATTAAAAAGAAGATGAAGTCTCTATTCCTTGGGAATGGTATAGAAAACAGATCATTATGCAGACAGATGACACACACAGAATGCCCAATCACAGGAAGGCAAGAATATGGAGGACACCCTCGATTAAAGGCCAAGACTGGAGAACATGTGGGTATGATCCAGGGACAATTCTTGAGCTATGATTTTAGAAAAAAGGGGTATGACATAAGAGACTATATCCACTTACCAGCCGGAATACCCCAGAAGTCCACACTGCCCACAGACATCAACCTCAAAGGCATCACTTGAAATCATTAGTCTCTCTAGCAGAAGCATACTGGCTCCGTAGCCAATTAAACAGTCACGTTCCATTTCTCCAAGACGCAAGCCACCATCACGAGATCGTCCTTCAGTGGGCTGCCTTTCAAACAAGTTATTGGACAAATATATTATTACCATATTAAAAAACAAGGAGGTAGCACCCCACAGAGACTAAGAACATGATGCTTTGGAGCAGGGTTCACCTGGATCTGGTCATGTATTATACAGGAAACTTGAGCATGCTGCTCAGCCTTACCTTTTTAAAAAAGCACTTAAGAGTAATGTTATGGCTTAGATCTGGACTGTGCCCTGAAAAACTCACATGATGATGCAGCAGTGTTTAAAGGTGAAAAGACTGGATTACTAGGGCTATAACCTCATTAGTGGGTTTACCATTTGACGGATTCATAATTGGAATGGACTACTGGATGGTAACTGTGGGCAGGTGGGGTGTGGCTGGAAGAAGTAGGTCACTGAGAGCATGTCACTGGGGACCACATCTTGTTCCTGAGTCCTTGGGTGTATGCACCCTTTCTCTCTCTCCTTTCTGGCTGCCATAAGCTGAGCACCTTTCCTACACCATGCCCTCTCTATGATGTTCTGTCTCCCCTTAGGCCCAGAGCAATGGAGTTGGCTGCCCATGGAGTGAATCTCATAACCATAAGCCAAAATAAATCTTTCCTCCTCTAAGTTGTTCTTGTCAGGTATTTGGCCACAGTAACAAAAGCTGACTAACACAAATACCTAACCAAAGAGCCTCAAATAAGAAAAGAAGTAACTTGGTGGTTGTTGTTATTAAATAAAAATAACATAATTATATATAATATTTATTATATGACACAATACTCCACTAATGTACAATCACATGAAACACCAGTGCTAGCATTACTACCACCATCATTATCATTGTTATTAGGACAGCGCAATGTTCAAATCAGGGAACAATGCCTTTGAGTGTTTTCCAGAGATATCTTGGTACTCTGTTATTTAAAATCATGAAAAATTACGCAGAATGACACTCCCCAGTTTGTTTGTGCAATAGCAGCACCTTTCTATGGTAAGTGGTTCTGCTCTGCCACCAAAGAACAAGAATGGTTTCCAATAGTTACTGCCATAGTTTGAGGGCTTGTTAGTCTCTTGAATGAACTGTGTGGTTTATATATATACTGAGTTGAAGAATAAAAGGTTAAGAATCCAAGATCCAGAGATGTAGATAAAATTAGAGATTCTGAACAATTTAGGCAACTCTGCCTTGGAAATGATCACACAAATCATTTTGGGGAGGGTGGAGAAGTGAGCTCTGTGGCTAGCTTATTTTACGACACTTCTGAGGGGTGTTCTGTGAGGGAACCATGAACTCAGGGTCATGCCTGCTTTATTCCACAGCATTTTTTCTTCTTTGTTGTTGCCACAGGTCTCCTAAAGTATTATGAAGGTGAATACAGTACCTGCCAACACACGCTGAAATTTTAAAATTGTCTTTGTTCTTATGGTTGAAAGTGACAATAGGAAATCTGGTATGTTGAAGATCATTTGCTGAAAAAAGTCTACACGTGAAAATCTTACAAATAGGTCCAAATGAAAATACTAAGTTAACATTATGTCAGAACTGACATGCCTACTCATTTTTATTTGCTAGAAGAACCACCCCTAGGAGGTGCTCCTTCCACTTGTAGTTTAACCTCTGAGATAACTGACCACAGACCCTGCCCTCTGGAGTCTTCATGTGTAATTCAAAGCAGTAACTTCTTTCATACAACAGAGCAAAACAGAGAAATAACTGCTTTAACAGTTATGTTACTTTGAATAGTTTTTAGATGTAACTAATATGGAAGTCTATGAGGGATCAGAATTTAAGGGAGAAACACACTGAATCCACAGAGTCTCATCACCATGGTGATTACTACCTTGACAATGTCAACCTCTCTTCTATTTTCTGCAATTTTAAGCACGTGTATGCCTATTATTTCAACAGACATGTGCATTTGTTCAGTTTGATGCTCAAGGGATTAAATCACCCATGTTTCTTTCTTGGTTGGGAAAAAAACAAAACCAAAACCACTAATAGCACCATTTTTCCTCTTTCTATGCATACTATCCAAATAATGCTCAGTGCCAGTAGGAAGGGGACCAGGTTTTTAACTGAGCATCTTCTACAGATTGGTGCTATATACATGTTGCATTTACCAGTACTTTGTGACATAGGTATAATCACCTTCACTTTGTATATGAGAAAAATAAAAGCTGAGACACTGTCCAAACTGATGTGGAGATGAGATCACACCACATCTACCATCTGGTTCTTCCCCCCCCACACACTACTAATAATCTGAGCTGGGAGCTCTTTGTTGTGGGGTGTCTCATGTACTGTAGGACATTTAATAGCATCCCTGGTGTCTCTACACACTAGATACCAGTACCTCCCTCCCTATTCCCAAGTTGTGACAACCAAAAACATCTCTAGACATCATCAAATATTCCCAGGGGTTGGAGGTGGGGGGCAAAATAGCTCAGCTGAGAACCACTGCTCTAGACAAAGTTTCTCCAGGTGGAAAAAATGGTCCTAAGAAGATGCGATACTTAGCTTACCAAAGTTATTCTTTGAATTTGCAGGGGACTGGTTCTAGGACCCCTGTGGATAACAAAATCCACAGACAGGCAAATCCTTTCTATAAAATGGCATGTCTGCATACAACCTATACACACCTTTCACATACAGTCACGCAGGGCTCAACAATGGGGTACAGGGTACAGGTCTGGGAAATGCAATGTCAGGGGATCCCATTATTGTACAAACATCATAGAGTATACTTATCCAAACCTATGATACAGTCTACTTATTTCACATCTAGGCTTACGGGGTGTGTATGCATGTGTATACATAATATAGCTCCCTCCTCCTCCTCCTCAGAGAAGTGAAGAACAAACACAGGACTAAATATGGCACAAGAGAAATGATGCAGTCCACAGACCCAGTAAACACAGCTACTGCTCGTGGCATACATGGCATACATATATACATGCTTTACGGTACATTTATTTTATGAGAAGAAGGAGTACACTCTAAAGTAATGGAAAGAGCATAGAGCATATGTAAAGCAGTTACATAGTTGTCTCTTATCATTATCAGAAATTGTGCATTCTATGTAAGTGTTCAGTGTAATGCTTTTACAGGACCAGCAGCACAGGTTTATTTACATCAGCATCACCACAAACATGTGAGTATGTGCTGAGCTACAATGTTACCATGGCTACAATGTCACTGGGCAATAGGAATTTTCCATGTCCATTATAATCTTAAGGGGACCACCACTGTATACGTGGTCCATCATTGACCGAAATGTCGTCACGCCACACATTTTACAGTCTCTGTATGTTACTTATAATACTAGTAGAATGCAAGATATGTAAACAGGTGCTATAATATATTGATTAGAGAATAAGGACAAGAAAAAGTCTGTACATGTTCAGCACAGACACAATTTTTTCCCTCAAAAAAATTTTTTTTCTTTTTTCTTTTTTTTTTTTGCAGTCCAGGGATTGAACCCAGGGCTTCACACATGCTAGAAGTCATGGTCTAGATCTGGAGTATCCCCTGAAAATCATATTTTGAAAGCATGATCCCCAATGCAGCAAGATTTTAAGCAATAATGAGAGCTGGAACCTCATCAGTGGATTAATCCATTTGAAGATTAATAACCTGAATGGACTACTGGGTGGTAAGTATAGACAGATGGGGTGTAGCTGGAGGAAGCAGGTCACAGGGATATGATCTTGGAAACTATATTTTTGTCCCTGGCTTATGCTGTAAGTCTCTATATCCCTGCTACCTGGCTGCCAAGAGTTGAGCAGCTTTTCTCTGACACACCCTCTGCCATGATGTTCTGCCTCATTGCAGGCCCAGAGCAAAGGAACTAGCTGACCATGAACTTGATCCTCTGAAACTATGTGTAGGTATATATGTTCTTACCTTCTAATATATAAACATTTCTGAAAAGGACCACATTTAAAGTGGTACACAGTAAATGGTTGTATTAGGAGACTGTGGCAAGACTTCAATGGCTTTGCTCTTGAGCCTGTGAAATGATTTTTAATCAGCTGCTTTTTCATGTTGGTAGTATGTATGATTTTTATTAAGCCTATACCCTACATTTTGACATTTCAAGAAAACAGAAATTTCCATGAGTCTACTTTTTGCCTTATCGAGAAAATGCAAGACTGTTTTGACTTGCATAATAAGCTCTTTTTGTAAGTGCTTCTCTCTTACCTGGTAAGGACGGCTCGTGGTCCCCGGGCCCGGGCATGCATTTTATCCAGCACCATGTGTTTCAGTTTCTGATAGTACACAGGACCGAAATAGATGTAAGCTTCCAAAGGCTCTCTGAAAGAAAAGTCAGAGTTTGGGGTTAAGAAACTAGGTTTGGACTGGGCATGGTGCTGTATACCTGTAATCCCTGCAGCCCAATTGGCTAAGGTGGTTAAGGCAGAAGGGTCACAAATTCAAAGACAGTACTTAGCAAGACCCTGTCTCAAAAAATAAAATATAAAAAGAGCTGGGGATGTGGCTCAGTGGTTAACTGCCCCTGGGTTCAATCCCTCAAACCAAAAAGCAGCTAAAGAGGTTGTGAAGCTGTGTGCAGATTTTCTCCTCTCACTGCCCTTTCTTGCCTGGACTACCACAACCCATCTCATGATTCTCCCTATTTTCACTTTTATACCCTGACAATCTATTCTTCACATAATAAACAGGGGTGAGTCCCTCTAAAATGTAAATCACAAAAAGATATTTTGCTCTAAACTTCTCATATCATTTCTCATCACACTAAGAATCAATATTGCCAAGATTCTATATAATAGCCAGAAGAGCAAACATAATCCAGCACCTGCCTGCCTCAAATTCATTTTCTATTCTCTCATGGCTCATTCTCCAACAATGCTGACCTCTTTATTCCTCAAAGGCAAAATGCTGTCCATGTCTCAGGGCGTTTGCATGTATTGTTTTCTTTGCCTGAACATTCTCCCATCAGGTATTCACATGACTCGTCAACAAAGCACCACCTCAGAGAGCCTTTCCCTTATCACCTTTTCCAAAGGAGGGTTTTACTTCCCCTGCAGCACTGCCACCCACCCAGCTGTCTCTACATGTAGTGCACTTCCACCTTTTGCTACTCTAGTATTTTTAATAACTTCTTTGGTTATTGCCTGTCTTCCCTACAAGAAGTAAACTGCAAGGATGAGCTCTCTGTCTCCTTTGCCACTGTGGCTCCAGCACCTCTAATAGTCTAGTACAGGTACTTAATAAATGTCATATAACTTATTTAATGAATCTTTAGAAAAACTGCAGTAAGAATTGAAAAAGAAGAGTGAACATACACATACTTTGACAAAAAAAAACTTTTGTTTTTAATCTAGAACAAGAAAAACTAAGGCATTGATGCCTTTGAAGCATTTGTGGCATCCTTCCTCAAAGGAAAGAAAGCACCTATTACCTGCCACACAATCCACACAACTATCTAAGGAGTATTGTCACACCTGTTCTGAAGATGAAGCAATAAAGCCAGGGTGCAGAGACTCTCCAGATGTCTGAGAGGAGGATCTAAGAGGAGAAGACGCAGCTAGTGAGTGGTGTAGTATGGATTCACATTCAGAGCTCGCCTGCCTCACCAGCCTACCTCGAAACACACACAAATACATTTTGAGCCACAGTGGGATCTTAACTGAGAAGAGCAAAGCAAGCCCCAGACTCAGCAGTGAGGCAACTGCACATACTCAGCAATGCCCAAGTGGAGTACTACCAATACCTTGGCGCCAATAGCAAAGGCTTGAGGAGCCATCAAGTCACTCTGCTGGCTTAAGCCCCACCAGACTCTGGGGGTCACACAATGCAGTGGAAGGTGCAATGGTGATGGAATCCAGAGACCCTGTTCCTGTCCCAGGTCTGTTGCACAGAAACAGGAGGACTTCTCTGTTTTCTTGGTTATAAAACAAGGCCAGCCAAAGGTTACTTCTAGTTCTAATGACTGATTCTAATCCTCAGTAATGTGGCTGCTCAGGGTAGAATTTATGGAGCTCCATGTTACTGCATTATCAACAGAATAAACAAATAATTTTTCCACCTCACTATATTCAACAATAAACACAGGATATATATTTTGAACTAAAAGGCTGAACAGTACTTCTCAAACTTTGCCATGGAGGGCTGGGGTGCAGCTTAGTAGTAGAGTGCCTGTCTAACATGCACAAAGCATTGGATTCCATCCCCAGCACCACACAAGAAAAGCAAAAACAAACAAAAATACTCTGCCATGGAGATAAATAGCAAAGAAATGAAAACTCTGGCTGGGGGTGTCTGGGAGGCAGTGTGGCTGTGGACATAGACTGAAGCTGCCCGAGCCCACAGGATATGACCACCCAGATCTGTCAGTATAGTTACTGATATACTATCAAGAAGCTCCACCAAATTGGTCCTGAGGTTTTGTATACTTTCTGGGTGGAGCCTAAGATGATTGGTTTATCAAAGACAACTGTGTTTTGATATGGATCTTTAGCTATTTTACTGAACCATTTTTGAAATGGACTATTGGTCTTTTCCTGAAATGTGATTTTCTCTAACGTTTGAGGAGGAGGCACCTAAAGAAATCCCTACTGTTACTGGACAGACCATTTTAAAAAGCACTCCATATGTTTAACAGCAAAGGATGTGGGCATGTTAATGACATCTGGAGAGTCTCTGCACCCTGCAATTAGGCTCTGTCTTCCTGTGCTTCCAGCCGAGCTTCACCTGTCCCCAAGGAGCTCACAACCTTGGAACAACCGTATAAGCACTGTGTCCCTGGATTTGAGCTGGCACAAGATACCTAACTGTATCTTAATTTAAGCAACTGATTTGATCCTTTAAAACCCACTGTGAGTCAAAACAATTGTAAGCACCTGTTTCTTACCAGTTGACAGGGAGAGCCCTTGCTGGGCGAGCTGGCCTTTGCCCTCTCCAACCTACTTAGCCCCCTCACATGGAAGCTAGCTGCTCTCTTCCAGTTCTCAGAACTTACTAATTTCTTTCTCTAGAAAGATGCTGAACATATTTTTTCCTCTGTATCAAACTTTCCAAGTGGCCTATCCTCCTCATCTCAGCTTAAATATCTGTTTTATCTCAAATATTCGCCTGCTCACAGGCATCTTCTAATCTCTCCTTTGTCTTCATTTTGGAGAGAACTATTTTTGGGTGGATCTACTTCTTTGCATTTCTTCATTTAACAAGCACCTCTAAGATAAATGGATAAAAAGAATGTGGCATATACACAATGAAATTTTACTCAGCAATAAAAGAGAATATAATCATGGCATTTGCAGGTAAATGAATGGTGTTGGAGAAGATAATGCTAAGTGAAGTTAGTCAATCCCCTAAAACGAAATGCTGAATGTTTTCTCTGATATAAGGAGGCTGATTCATAGTGGGGTAGGGAGGGGGAACATGGGAGGAATAGACGAACTCTAGATGGATCGGGTAGAGGGGTAGGAGGGAAACGAGGGGGCAGGGGGTTAGCAATGAGGGTGGAATGCGATGGACATCATTATTCAAAGTACGTGTATGAAGACATCAATTGGTGTCAACATACTTTATATACAACCAGAGATATGAAAAATTGTGCTCTATATGTGTAATAAGAATTGTATTGCATTATGCTGTCATTAATTTTTTAAAAAATCAATTAAAAAAAAAAAAACAAGCACCTCTAGAGCACCTGCTGTGTGTCAGACCCTGTGCTAGCATGGGAACTAGAATACTGAAGAGACCAAGAGCCCAGAGTGCAACAGAGGGCAATGAGGGACGATATGACAGCAAGGGGCGGCAGTCATATTTGGCCCCGCTGAGAAGCTGCCGTTTGTGTATTTTTAAATGTCTAATAACAAATTTAAATGGTCAGCTCTCAAGCAAAGGGACCATGTCTATTTTGTTTACTTTTATACATTTGATGCCAATGGATAAAGAAATGTGGCATATATACACAATGGAATTTTGTTTACTTTTATACATTTGATGCCAATGGATAAAGAAATGTGGCATATATACACAATGGAATTTTGTTTACTTTTATACATTTGATGCCAAACGCATATTAAATGTTTAACACAAGTTTAGACCTCAGGCTACATATCAAAGTACCAATTGTCTGATAGTCAAATAAATGTAGAGTAAGTCCAACAGTTAAGGGAAACCCTCTGCATTATATACGATTGAGGTGTTTCATATTTTGTTAAATTAAATCTTTTCTACTTTTAAAATTATAACCATTCCAATAGCCCTCTTCAATTTATCAGTTTTCTAAATTTTCATTTTCTTTAAGCAGCAAAGAGGTGTTTATTGAGAGCTAGCCCAGTCCTCCTCCACGCGCACACAGCAACTGGTGACACTGAGAGGCCTACATTTTCATTGTTTTATATCAGAGTTCTTGAAAGAGTAAGGTTTTATTCTTTAAATTTTAATGCTCAATCCTTAAATCATACTTCTTTCTTTGAGATGGGGTCTTGCTCTGTTGCCTAACTTGGACTCAAATTTTGGGGCTTGAGTGATCCTCCCACCCCAGTCTCCTGAGTAGCTGGGACTGCAGGCATGCACCATCATGCCCAGTTTTGAAGTACACTCTTTAAGGTATACTGACAGAATACACCTTAAGGGCTCTTAACCTTCTATTCTAATACAACCATTCCTTTTTTTTTTTGAAAATGGCTCAACAGCATACTCACCCTGTGATGCCAGATGTGACATAGTCCTTCCCTAAGTAGTTATAACCATGGCGAACGAGGTCCTCACATACATCCTTCACTTTACTCCCTCCGAATGCAGTACCGTAGTGGAACCTGCCATCTAACACACCCGCCTTGCCGGCCAGCAGCTCAATTAACTTTCCCACCTGTGGGATGTGAACAAATTAAGTACCTCCCTGTGGTACAGGAATTCTCTTTGCTTATTTATCTCTGGCTTATTCTCTCAACAGGATATGGGACTACCACAATTAATAACAATGATAAATTAACAGCAGCAGTATTCATTGATCTCTTGCTGTGTGACACATTCTACTAAATCAGCTTGACATGTATGGTGTAATTCTCTACATCTCAAACACCTTACAAGTTAGGTAACATTATTCCCTCAGTTTCCATATGAGGAAACTGAAGTAAAGGAATAAAGTGACTTGTCCAATGCCATTGGCCAGTAAGAGGGGGAGCCAGGAGAACAGCCAAGTGGCCTTGAAAGGGAGACTCACATAGGTTTAGTGTAAGGGGCTCTCTGCAGAAGGCTAATAAGTACCTCACTCAGAAGACTCCAGTTGTGCAAGTGAGCTCCTTTTTCTCTGTAGAAGAGAGTGGCCCAGAAACTGCCAGGGACTAGGAGCTTGTTTATCCAGCAGGGGGTCAAAGGAATCTTTTTAAAACTCAGTTTCAGGGTCTCATCACCTCCACTTACTACAACTAAACTAACTGCCTGCTTTCTTCCTTAAAAGCTGTGTCTCTCAAAAGCCTAAAGGTAACTGACCGTCATTCTCGATGGGAAGCCATGTGGGTTCATTATGATGTCCGGACAGATGCCAGAATCACAAAATGGCATATCCTCCTGGGGGACGATCAAACCACAAACACCTGGGGGAGAGAAGATTTCATGCAACATAAAGCAAACTGACAGAAAGAAGAATACAGTACTTAATTGGGATCTTCCTGCTGCTATCTCTATTTCTACTGCTTTAAAATTTGCCCTATCGTCTCTATCAAGAATAACAAAAGCAATTTCCAGCAATCCTGTTAGACAGTCAAAAATGACTCTCCTTGCAGAAAAGAACTGCAGCCTGTGGACTGTCCTGCTGGAGTGATACACAATGATGCTGTCAGGCTGCTTGCCCACCCTCCTGTGCCACGAAGACCAAAGAGCAGCAATTCCCTGGGACCTGAGCCGAAGTCCCTGAAGCTTTAAGTCGACAATCTTGCTCCTTGCCAGTTAGGCTGTGATCTGTGAGGTTCTGCACCCAAATTACAGGAATCCAACACAGAACTGATTGAACAAGAGGGGCATGTAAAATACAGTTTTAAAAAACTGTGGCTGATATTCACAGAACTGGCTGGTTGGCTGATTCTTGCCAGGACTTCCCTGGCTGAGCCTATATTGCCTGAAAGAATTTTAATTCCTATAGTTTACAGCATGTTAAAAAAGCAATCTTTGAACTTGTAAAGATAAACAAGAAAATTAAATGCCAAATCATTCTTGGAGAAAAATGTTAGAATCAGAAATGAAATTCTAAGAATGAAAACAGAACAAAACAAAAAAACCTAACAATTCTCTGCAAATGACTGATGTTCTCTTAAATTAATTGTGGTTTATTACTCCCTTAATGTTGTTCTAAAGTTATAGGGGACTTTGTTGCTAAGTTGTTTTTAATTCTTGGAATTTCTTTTTCGTGAGAGGAGGAGAAAAAATAGAATTTAGATTTTTACCCACAATCACATAATTTAGAATTGGAAAACTAGTCTACAATGGCACTGAATTAAGAAAAAAAGTTCTCATAATGTAGTAAGATAAAATTCTTTTTTTCCCCTGTCTGCAGAGTTATCAACCATCTGCACCTATTGAAAAACTGTTCTTATTTTTTCATTCCTCACTTCAGCTTCTATATAACTATTCAAACTATTTTATTATTATTTTTGCAGTACTGGGGATCAAACCTAGGGTCTTGTGCAGGCATGCTGGGCAAGTACTATACCACTGAGCCCTTCAAACTACTTTAAAATAAAATTTTTGTGATTTGTTATAGTTGTGAAGAGCTAAAGTCTACGGGAAAAAGATGGCCATTCATGCCATCTACTTATTTCATATTAGTTATTAATACTCCAATTTCTAGAGGCTGCCAACAAGATGTAATTAGGTCTGAGGAGCTGAATTCTAGAGCACAGAGTTATTTTAATTGGCATTTTGGTTGAAATGGTTTTGTTTATTATAAAGAACGTATGCTTTCCTACAAGAACAGAAGCAGTCATTCAGTTCACTTTATTTCAAATTCTACTACAATGTGTTAGAACTTAAATCAAGCAGAGTGTGTGACCCTCTTTTCTTTCCTCTAAAAATCCATCTTATCCACACTGAAATTATCTGACAAAACCCTAGGGCTACTTGGAAATCTGCTTTGAAAGAGATCAAATTGTAAATCTAGGTACACCGACAACAACATTGTATAGGAGTGAACAAAATGTTAAAAACGGCAACTCCTAAAGGGACTGATCCTGGGACGCCTGGCTAAGAATGACATTTTGGCTGGTGAGGGGATGGAGGGTTCAACTATATCCTTGAAAACAAAACTGAAGCAAAACGAGCCACCCTTGGCAGAGCTTCACAGGGGTGCAGGGTTTGCTCAGGATGTAGACCAGGCCTCTCACCCTCCCACAGGAGAAGGTGAGGAGCGAAGGACAGAAGTTACAAAAATGACCATGGAAGCATGACATACTCAGATGGCGGGGGGTGGGGGGAAGAGAGATGACTTGCACTTTGTATTTTCAGTTTTAGTTGTCTCATTTAACCAAGGAAATTTAACTTCATTATGTTACTAAAAAAAAAATAATACTCACAATATTTAATAACTTTCCTTGAAACTTGGTTAATATTTAGTACACAGTCTCCTTTTTGAGAAGTTTTTTTATTTGCCCTCTTCTGACATTTTGATAAAAACAAAACAAAACAAAACAAAAAAAACAACATAAGTAGCTTTCCGATTTTTCCATTCCCTTGTAGGAACTGCTTTGGCTGTATCTGAACCAAGGGCACCTGTAAGCCAAAAATTAAATCTTCGCTAACTTAAAATTACTTTAGGCTCTGAAAACCCTTTTATATGCCAAGATGGTTCCCATAGCAGACAGCCTGTGTTGTTTGTTTTGTGTGAAAGTGAATGATAAAAGATCCATGAAATCGACACAGAAAGCCCGAACAGCAGAAAGAACTGAGGGCTCTCCATCACTGCGGCTTCTACCCTCTGCTGACTTGGGGGACAATGGGAGCTACACATCCAACTGCAGATCTAACACAGCTGTGCATTTCATTAGATGAAGAGCATTAGTGACACAAGTAAATAATTAACTTATTCTGGTCCGCTGACTGTGCTTATGAGACCAGTCATAGCTGACAGATTTTAATACGAGTTAACACAAAGAGGCCATAATGAGCTTAGAAGTTAAAACAAAATATTTAGACAGAATTTGACGATTTCGAATCTCAAATTAGACAGATGATTTTTAAAAGTTTGCATTTTGCTGAATTCATTAGGGGCAAAAAGAGACTTCTCAACCTTAGAATCAGACTTTTTTTTTAAAGGATATTTCTCTGAGTCAGAAGTACTTGAGTCCTTAAAGTGGGGAAGTTTCTTACTTTCCAATGGAAAATTAAAATTCTGTTTTCTCCAGGGACACAGGAATAAAATCCATTCCAGTATTAAGAATGCTTAAAAGTTATGGTCACTTTCCTTCAGTACTGGCCTAAAAATGTAAATGATAAGCGGTATGCTTCAGTGTGTTAACACTCCCCTGGATTCCTGAAAAGAGGATGGACTACAAATAAACCATATCTAATGGAAGCTGTTGTGAGACAATTACCAATTCATATTTTAAATGCTTACACAGCATTTCAGATTTTAAAATAAAATTTCATCCCCTAGTTCATGCTGTGTCTCAACCCCATTGTTTATAGCACAACCTCCTGGCAGTAAAAGGCAAATACACCAGTCAACATGACGAGGACATTTAGTGCACTCACTGGGACCTACTGGAAATCAGACCACAGACAGATCTTCAGGACATCTAACAAATGCAAAAACCAAATAAAAAAGAAAACCAAATCTCACAATGTTAGAGAAAAAGGGTACTACAGATATCCAGTCATCAGAACATTATTCCATCCTCACTGACCTTAATTTCAAGTTGTAAAAAGGAAGAAAGCAGAGATTCTGAAGAGGCTATAAGTGGGTGTCAACCCAGTCAAGACCCAGAGTCACAGTACTGTGCCATGCCCCAGACATTGCAGGATCCTACACCAGTTTTCTATTTCCATCTCTGTGGCTTCACAAAGTGACACAGAAATTGACTTTAGTGGCCTTAAGAATAATTTGATTTTCTTAAAAAAGTATTTCCAATTATAAATAGTAACAAAATTATTCAAGTCATTTTTGGCTCTTCTAACATTAATTTTAGTTATTGAATCTGTGTAATGGACTACCTTAATTTGAATAGATGAGAACCGAAGAGGAAAAATGTTAGAAAAAAATTAAAGCACTCCAGAACCTTATCAATAGAGGAAAGTGAACAACAACTAGAGAAGACAATGGTAATGATATCCTTAATTTAAGAGCTGTTTCTGGGGCTGGGGTTGTAGCTCAGTGGTAGGGCACTTGCCTCACATACGTGAGGCCCTGGGTTCAATCCTCAGCACCACACAAAAATAAATAAACAAAAATAAAGATATTGTGTCCATCTACAACTAAAAAATAAAAATAAAAAAAGGAGCTGTTTCTGATGTGACTTCAATGTGTAATTGCTAATGGACAGGTTAGCCATTACTAAGCAGATGCAGTGCCACAAGTACTATGAGGAGGTGGGAACTGGAAGAGGTTTAGGACTTCAAAATCAGATAGGTAAAGGTAGCCTATGCTGACTATTCAAGTGGAATATTTCAAACTAGCACATTTATACAATTCTCCTTGCTGCATTCAAATGTGCTAAGTGATACAGAGCACATCTGGCAGAAAGGTCTACTGAAACCACCAAGAAACACCTAAATCACCTGCTTTTACTTCTGGTAGATAAAAACTTAACTGTCATATAAGTCCATGTACTCTGCACAGCTGAACATGCTCTGTGCTGAACAAAAGGTGAAAAGATGCTCTGACTTTTCTGTAGAGTCACAGTGCAAGAAGAGGGCAAGTATTTGGTAAGGAGTGTATGCTCTTCTGCCTCCTAATAACCCAGTATTGATGAAGTCTATAAATGTGGGGAAATGCCATCTGTGGAGATGATTACTACTTGGCCCTCAGACCAAGGGAGAATGGAATAGCGAGGAATCAAGTGACTTTAATCTGACTCTGCTGTTCAACAGATAATCTGAGTTGGGGGGCCTTAGGAGTTTGGTCTTTCTAATGGGAATAATTATCAACTACCTCTTAAGGCAATTGTGCTAGAAGCACAGATGAGCTAATGTCTGAGAGGTACTTTACTGGTCCTTTGAGAAAGGCTCCATTTAAATACAGGAATTATTATTATATAAGAAACGAAATTACTCTCAGCAGGAAGCATGCTAGCAAAGGCAAGGAGAACAACCTAATGAATAGATGGTGCAGGATCACTTGCACTAACTTTGGCTAAAGAAGTGAAAAGAAGTGCTAGTCTCCCTGAGTTCAGGCTCTTTATCTTTATCAGAACTGTTGCTTCCTAATAACATCAGAGCTTCACAGGGGCTGGGGCTGGGGCTTTCTACTGGAAAATAGCTTACTACAATAAATACAGCCCTAAATAGGGCTAAAGAAGTAGACAGGCGGCTTTCAAGATTGTTCCTATTAAATAAGAAACGTTTTGCTTTGAATAAACTCATCTCTGTGGGCCTTAAAACATTCAGA